ATGGCATAGTCCTAGAACCAGAAGACCCCAAAACCTAAAGCCATTCAGTCTTCTTAGGGTTCACTTGAAGCCTGCTGTTCCCCATCCAGATGCTCACAGCCTCCAGACACCAGGATAAGACATCCACAGCATCACTTAATTCGCCAGGAGCATATATGATACCTCACCCCATGGTGACAGATGAGCTCACCCAGAGGTCTCATGTAGAAATTGAATAGAATAGGAGAAAGCACTAACCCCTGTGGCATCCCACACAGTAGGGGCCTAGGGAATGGTCTCTCCTCCCCAATCACCACCAACTGGAATCAACCCTGGAGAAAGGATGTGAACCAGCAGAACATCCCACCACCTACCCCAATTTTCTGAGTCATTCCAGAAGAATACCATGGTCGATGGTATCAAAAGCTGCTAAGAGATCAGGTAACACAACCACCATCCCACCCATGCCAGAGATCGTCCAAAAGCGTGACCAATGCCATTTTTGTTCCATACCCAGATCTGAATCCTGACTGAAAAGGACTCAGATAATCCATCCAAGGTCCTCTGAAGCCATTGCACAACCACCTTCTCAACCACCTTCCCCAAAAAGGGGAGGTTGGATACCGGATGAAAATTATCCAGTGTGATAGGGTCCAATGATGGCTTCTGGAGGAGGTGGTGAACCACAGCCTCCTTAAGAGGTAAAGGAACAACCCGCTCACTCAAATAATTCACCACCACCAGAACCCACTCACATGACACCCCCTGGGCCACTTTTACAAGCCAGGAGGGGCATGGATCTAAAGAGCAGGTGGCTGAGCTCACAGCCCCAAGGAACCTGTCCACTTCCTCAGGTCCAACGGGTTCAAACCATTCCCAGATAACCAGGCGAGACTCCACCCTAGGCACCTCCTCCAGACCTGCAACAAGTCCAGCATCTAACTACAAGTGAATCTGAGAGACTTTGTCCAACAGATGCTGAGCAAAATCTTCCACATGTCCCTGCAAAAGGTTCCCCAGGCCCCCTTTACCCAAAAGGGCTCATGTCACCTGAAACAGGGATGCAAGAAAGGTGGAGAAGTACTGCTGCTTTGCTGCCCTAACCACCACAAGGTAGGCCTTAATAACAGCTCTGACCTGTGTTTGGTTGAATTTGTCCTTAGTTGCGCACCAGCGGTACTCTAGAAGTCTCTTCTCCAATTTTATCTCCCTCAGCTCCTCTGTAAACCACAGTGAGTGATAGGATCCCAGAGAGGGGAGAGGTTGCATGAGTATGATCCAATTCAATGTCTCAGCTGCTCCCTTGTTCCAAGTGGCAACCAAGGCCAAGATGGACAGTGCAGCAGACTAGCAAGAGCAACCCCCAGCTCCCTCTGAGACCTGTCTGCGTCCCTTAGTCTCTGGGGGCAGACCTATCTAGTGGCTCCTGCCTCCCTGCAGTGGACAGTGGTGCCAGAGAATCCAACTGTAATCAGGGTGTGATCTGATGAGGAAAAAGAGACACCAAAAGCTCCCCCAATTGCAGATCACATAGCCATTGCTCTGACAGGAACACCAGATCTGGTGTGTGACCACTGTCCCATGTTGGGCTCTGGATGACCTGGAATAGGCCAATGGCCATCATGGTGGCCATGAACTCCTGAGCTGCCTCAGACACCCCCAAAGGAAGGCAGATTGAAGTCCCCAAGACCTTAAGTCTGGGGAACTCCACCGCCAACCTGGAAATGGAGTCAAGGAGCTCAGGCAGGAAGGTTGCTATGCAGTAGGGAGGCTGGAACAACAGCAACAATTCCAACTGATCCCTAGAGCCCAACTTAATGAACAGGGTCTCACATCAGGGGACCTGCAGAGCAACACCCCTGAAAGTTGTGATTCTTGGATGACAATTGCTGCACCACTACCCCTACCCCAGGTTCTCAGCTGGTGCCACAGCCAAAACCTAGCTGGGCATCTCTGTGAAAGAGCCATTCCCTCTTCCAGGACCAATCATGCTAGGTCAGCCTAATACATGCTAGGTCAGCCCTCTCATCTACAATCAAATTGCAGATGAGGGAGGCCTCATTTCAGATCAATCTGGCATTTAAGAGCAGCAGCTGGAAGCCAGGGCCTCTGAAGGTCTGCTGTCCAGGTACAGGGGCTGAGACCAAGGAGCTGGAATTCGAAATTGGTACAATGCATCCATCCTGGTTCCCAGGGAGCAGCCTGCTCCTCATCTCCCACCATATCTCCCCATGCCCATCAGTACCATAATACTGCAGTCCGCCCCTTTACCCCCAAAGGCCGCATTATCTTTCCACTCCAGGATTCCCAATTCCCAAGGCTCGGGACCTCCCATAATGTTCATTACATCCATCCCAGGGAGGGGAAGCCAGGCAGCCTGAGGCACTTCAGCTCCATCAGCTCTCAGCACCATCAGGGTACCCACCACTCACCTCCCCCACTCTATCCACAAACACACACAGAGACATATACAGACACACTCACTAGCACCCACCAGAATCTCTCCCAGCTGCTCTCACCACAGATTAGGGTTCCCTTCCCATTCACCCCAACCAACCAATCCCCCTCCTCAGGCTTTCACCTTGAGGGGAATAATCATTCAAACAGGAGTACCCAGAGACAGGGTTGGAAGGTGAGTAATCATATCTTCCCTCTCTTTGGAGCTAAAAGTCTCCATGGGGGGAAGGGTCCATAGCAGATTGCCACTCTGCTATCCCCCCACCCGCCTAACACCAATAACCCAAAGCTCCAGGGTCTTGGCTGGCCACTCCAGATGAGCACATTGGAGCTGTTAGGTGATTCCCATGCAATCATACAGACTGCAGAGTGAGAGAGGCCAGGAGCAAAAAGATGGAGACTCAGCAAAAGGATGGAAATGCAGCAAACACAACCCCATCAAGGGGCTCTGGGTTGCTCCTTTGGCCAGCACTGAGCCTACAGCATCACAGGGGGAACAAGCACCAGGTCCAAAAAGGCAGCCAACATGGCAATGATCCTGGCATGGCCAGGATTGCGACCCCAGTCCATCCTCAGCCCTCCTCTGGTCTTCAGGCTTTCCTAATGCCAGCACAGGCCAAAAAGCATAGCAAACACATCAGCCCATAGGTGTGGCCTCTCTTCCAGTCTGTTCCTCTGGCCCGTCCTCCAGCTAGCTCCATCAGTAGCCTAACATCCCAGCACGGCCAGCTCACAGTCCAAACCTTCTAATGTGGCTGGCACCTGGCCCACAAACACGGAAGCACTTGTTCCAGTCTAGTCCAACCAGCTCCTTCAGTCTCTGGCCCACTCCTCCAGCCTTGGAACCTCCCAACAAACCCAGCTCCTAACAGCTCCAATGTGCTCAGCTCATGGGCATGGCAATGCAGCAGATGTAGCCAGAGCAGCCAGTAACAAACACAGTCCTGTCCTCTGGCTCCAAACCAACCAAAAGCCAAAAAAGTCTGAGTCCAGAGATCCAGAGGTCCAGTCCAAATCAAGGTAGGTGTAAAAAACATATTAAGAAAGATATTAATCCAGCCATACCACAATCAAGGGGACAATCAAGTGGCTCCTATCCTCCGCCATCTTACCCAATGCCTGGAGGAAAAGCCATGTCTTCAGAAGGCTAAAATGGCAGGGCCTCCCCAGATCTCAGGTGAGAGGCTGTTCCAAAAAGCAGGGGAAGCTGAGGAGAAACCACACTTCCAAAGTCTCACTAGGTGACAGCATCTGAGGGAAAGGAACTCTATAACTAGCAGATATCCTCAGAAAAAGCAATCCTATAAATAAAATTATAAATAGGGTTTCTACCTGAAACCCTCAGTTGCTGGAATCCTCTTATTATGGTTTTATAACTTTTCTACAATAATAAATTGGGGCTGTACATGGGACTGCCCTTGAAAACCACCTGGAAGCTACAACTAATCCAGAATGCAGCAGTTCTGGGCATCCCATGGTTTGCCCATGTTACATCACTATTTCATGAACTGCACTGGCTTTCAGTTGCTTTCTAGGTGAAATTCAAGGTGCTGGTTTTCACTTTTAAGGTCCTACCTTGCACAGGGCCAGGTTGTTTACAGGACTGCTTTTTCCTGAGGGTATCTGCTAGTTGTAGAGTTCCCTTCCCTCAAATATTGTCACCTAGTGGGAACTTGGAGGTGGGCCTTCTCCTCAGCTACCCTTGCCCTTTAGAACAGCCTCCCATCTGAGATCTGGGGAGGATCTACCCTTTTAGCCTTCTGGAAGGCTGTGAAGACATGGCTTTTCCTCCAAGCATTGGGATAGGATAGGTTCAGTCATAGGGTTAGTAATATGGGTTGTTATGGCACCTTGGTGGGAAGGATATGATGTGTTTTATGCTATTGTTTTTATTGGTTGCTGAGACCCTCCTAGGATCACTATGTGAGATACACAGCCATGTAAGATTTTTTAAAAAACAGATTAAATAAGCAAAACTACTTCTCACTAGTTATTGAATTCTTATGAGCTTGCCTAATTGGTTCTAGTCCTGCCTTGGCAGCTGAAGCCTGAATATAACTGCCTTCAAGCTTGTAAGGTTTGAGAGAGTATGGAGAGATCTTAAAGACTGCCTGATTCACCCATGCAGAGACTGGGTGATGATGTAGACACTCCACCTTTTTCTTGTCACTGAACATATAGAGACACTAATAGGGGATTACCACTATTTCAAAGCTCAGTGCAAGGAGATCTGATTTTAGCAAAAATTTGAACAACGGGGATAAGTTACAAAGAATATATAACAAAGAATATATACGTTGCATATACTTTAAGATAAATAATAAACAAACAAATAAACTAAGCAATGGTGTCTTTGCTTTTAATTAAGACATTGGATATAACATCAACCAAATAGTTCTAAAAAGTGGTATTAACAAAACACAGTATTTCCTCTTTCAGTTGCTCCAAAGCTAAATATTAATGAATGGATAGAGAACTTTCATCAACAGAAAGCCCCAAGCTATAAATATAATTATTATAGAAAGGTAAGTAATTGTTCTGTTCTGTTCTGTTTTGTTTTGTTTTGTCTTCCTGTAGTTCTCTGTCATTACCATTTAATGCCTTAGAGTTTTTCAATGATTTGGAGATTTCTAGGGGGCACAGATAACTATGGAAAAAGAAGGAACTGGTGAAAATATTTCACTTTAGTTCATAGGAGCTGAAAATATATTGTTCCATAAGGAGTTTTCTAAGGATTTCTAAGGATTTCGGGTTGTAGCTATTTATGCAGTTAGTTATTCAAAATCTTAATGTGTGGTTTACCTTGCTGTCCTGCTTTGTCATACACTTTCATATGTACAACTCCTGAAGTTTTGTTTCGCAAAACTGTGGGATTCCTTCCATCTTTTTTATTGCAGATGCCCAGTTGGCCTAAGTTATGGTCTGCCCACCATAACTTCTTATCTGTAAAAATTAAACATTTCCATTAAAAAAAACTATTTAAATTAATAAACATACTGCATATAAAATATTTATATACATATAAAACAATGAGTGTGAAAATCTAGAAAAAAAGGCTGAAAAATTCAAGGATAGTAACATATAGAGCACATTGCAGTAATCTAATCAGGAGATATTTTAGATCATGGATCACAAAGCTATATTATCCCAGTCTAGTACAGTCCTCCATGCTACAATACCACCGGTGTCCCTAGCAACTCTGAATCAAGGAGAGCCCTCAAACCACACATCTGTTGCTTTGAAGGGAATACAATCTTAGTCACAAACGTCTGTCCTCCTAATTCTGAAACTGAGAGCTACCTAAACATAGCATCTGCATCTTTTCTGTATTCAGGTTCAGTTTATTAGCTTTCCTCCAGCCCATTACTTCCTTCAGTTAACTATCAAACACCTACATTGTGAGTCCTGATACATATGGAAAGATGAGATAGAGTTACATGTTATGAGCATACTGATGTCACTGTACTCCAAATCTCTGGATGATTATTTCCAGGAATATCATGTAATAATTGAACACAAAGGAGAAAAAGAAATAAAAGAACCTATGGAATTAAAGACATAAACACCATGAGGCTCTCAACTACCATTCCCTAGTAGTGATCTTGAGACAGTGTAAGACTGTGAATCCAGTTTAATTAATATAATTAATTAATATACTCCAGCAACATGCCATTATTAATTCTATCAAAAGTCACTGAGAAATCCAGGAGTATCAAAAAGATAGCACTCCTTATCTCTCTCTCAATAGAGATAATCAACCAGAGCAATCAAAACCATTTCACTTAGATATCTAGCCACATTCACAGATAACCAACTTCTTCTAAATATATTTTTAAATGAACAGTTTATTATTTTAAATAATTGATTGTAAATTGCTTTAGAGATTGTGACTATTTATATTGAATTATCCTGGAGACTTAGAAACTTCAGAGATACCATGTAAGCAAAAGGCACAGCTTCATTAAAATGCTGCTGACAGGTACTATGAGAGCATCCAGGTTGGATCTGAAGCATTTTTCCTGTTTCGATTTGAACACATGCATGTCCATATTTTGGACAGGTATTGCACTTAGCGAAGATTTGCTATCGCTGGAGGAAGGGATGGAATAGTAATTTGCTGTGATTCTACCTTTATTCACAGAAGGATGAGACATAAGTTCTGAAGGCTTTGGTAGTGAGATTCAGGCACAGACTTCATACTTTTTTGCATCCCTGTATAAATTTGGAAACAGAAGGAACTACTGAGTTGATATTTGCTACAGCTACAGCAATACCATTGCAGATAATGCTGTCTGCAGCAAACTGTGATGATACCAAGATGATGACATGCATGTCAGATGACATCACACAAATGCCACCATGACACACTTGCAATATTTATATGCCAGATGCAAGTATGAAAATTGCAGCATTTATGCAAGATGATATGTCATGCATACGTTGTCATCTGACCTCTGTGTTCCTCCTGAGGACACATAGGTGTGTAATATTCTATGGAGCTATTCTTCAACTTGCATTCCAATGTGCATCACAATGATATAATGTATTGGTACAATCACATTATCAGAGATCACACTGCAAACTATGAAATCAGGGAAAGCCACTGGATCAGATGGATTTCCTGTTGAATAGTATACAACTTTTATAGATCTACTGGCACTTGTATTGTTGGATATCTATAATCAATAATTTTCTCTCTCGATATTTCCTTGTTTTGTGAGGACTATATTACAGTAATATTAAACCCTGAGAGAAAGATTCTACGAAATGAGGAAGCTATAGACCAATATCTTTGTTTAATGTGGATGCTAAAATATTAACTGCAAAACTAGCTACAGAAAATAATACCATCTTTAATAGACCTATGTTAATTGGATTTATAAAAAATAGATAAATTCTTACTATACTTGCCTGGTGGTTGATATTATGGATATAGCTGCAAATAAATTAGTATCACTTGTTCAAATTTTTCTGGATGTGGAAAAGGTCTTTGATATGGACCAAATTCAATTTATGAAGTGTATTTTAAATTAATTGCTTTCCATTATCATTGGATTACCATTTGGTATCCTCATCCTGTTACTTATTAGTAATGTATAAGCCTCTTAACCCACTGAATTACATTGTGGCACTTAGCATTGTCTCCTTTAATTTTGTATTTGGTTTTTGAACCCTTAGCTTCTTTTAGACATTAAAGGTGTAGTGGCACTCAACTAAGTATACATTTTCCTGACATGCCAATGGTATTAAGGCTATTCTTGATAATTAGACAATGTTGTTAACAAAGCTTGTTCAAGTTGTATATCAGTATGGTTTATATTCTGGTTATAACATTAACTAGAAGATATCTAATTCGTTGCCTTTTGGATCAATGATATCTTTTGATTACTGTAAGAGATTAGGATTTACAATTTGCAGACTCTATCATATTTGGATTTATATCTCTCTTGAAGTTCATCACAATATATTGAATTAAGTATGTCCAAATGTACAGATACAATTTCAGTAATTAATTAATCTTTAACTCAATGGTTAAAGCTCCCATTAAGTCTTTGAGGTAAAATAAATGTTACTGAAATGAATATTTTATTGAGGTTAATGTATATATTAGGAGGGAATTCAATACTAATTTCTATTAAATATTTCACATAGATAGATATGTTAAAGAGAAAATTTTTATGGTAGGCTAAATGCCATAAAATATTTCTGGCTAAACTGTGGTTACCCTGTAAGGATGTTGGTTTTAACCTACCAGATTTTCAACTATACTAGTGGGCTTTTATTTTTTATTTAACTTTTTAATTTTTTTTAAAAGACTTAATATGATTACTATGGAGAGCAAACATGTAACACCACTGAAATATTAGCAAGTTTTAGTGACCAGGTATATATTTCCTGCTTTGAAAGCAAATCACATGAGATATTTATGTTGTGGTACAACTAAAATTTGAAAATAGCAGGAAAGGTGTTACATTAGAATCCTTGAGCTAAACAAGAAATTAATCCTTTAATCAACTGAATTTTAGTGGATGCTTTAAAGATTTTTGAGATCTTATATTTTGAATTTGACTTACCTTCAATATGCACTTGGCAATATATACAACTGAAACATTTGTTAACTAAACAGTATGGATCAGGTGCTTTAGCAGCCTCCAAGGCACATGCAATTCTAGCTTCTTTAAGTCATGTTGCACTTGAATGGATGAATGAAATGAAACCAATAATTCAATTTCATAAGGTATTACAAGGTGAAATGACAATATCAGTTATATATTTGACTTATCCAATTTTGGAAAATCAATGGATTCAGGTATTAAAAAAATATGAAATACATTTCCTAAGTTTTAAAAACGAAATTAATTCATTCAAAAATATTATTTTGGGTCTATAGGACCCTCAAAAAATGATTTCTTATGTTGGCAATGGAAGAAATCTGAAGGTTTTTTAACTCATATGATTTGGTATTTTTCTGTTACAGTTTTGTTTTGGCTTCAAATCTGTAGGTATGTTAGTACAATTTGGGGAAGAAATATTATATTTAAAGATCTCAGTATGATGTTGAATTATATTCCTAAACATGGAATTTGTCATCTTCTAAAGAGCTTTGGCTCTATCAAGCTTGGGATATGTCAAACAAGACAATCTCCTGATCATTCTCCTGATTTTAAGAAATAGATCCTTAAACCCAGGGAAGGAGTTTGTTATGTATTTTTGAAAAGTCTTTGTATTCTATAAAGGAAAAGTTGACACAGTATGTTGCTATATGGTATAGATTTAATGATAAGTTGTTGGTATCTATATTTATTATATGGATATTTCTGTTAATTAGTCTCTCTCTGTTACATTCAGATCATTTAATCACCATAAATTCTTTAGCCCCCCCCCCATTGTATAATCACTATTTAATGTAGACTTTTTTTTTTCTTTTGGTTTTCACTATTTTAACAAATATTTTAAAAAATAGAAAAAATATATCTACCATAGATTATGAGGTGGCATAAGGATTTCATAAGACACACTTCATTCTGGCTCATCTCTCTCATATGTGCTGTTCAGGCATAGAGTGAAGTTTTTACAGAGTGGTTCCTTGTTGAAATGTTAAGACAGCAGTCTTGATAATTAATAAACAAGGATTTTATAATCAGAATTTCCTCAACAATTAATTCTTTCAAATTTCAAAGCTATCTATTCTAGAAGCTAATAATAATGTTGTAATGTAACTCTCTAAGATCCAGAAGTATAATGTTATATTGAAATATATGCACACTTATTCTGCTAACAATTTCATTACCTTAATTGTACTTGGGCTTTTACATCTTTCTCCAATGCACACAACATATTTTCTTTCTTGTTATGCATCTTTATGATAAAATCTGTATAATAATTTTACCAGGATGGAATATACCAGTGTACATACACACATCTCACATAGTATACTGATAGAGGACTTGACACTGTAATGGGTCCTGTCCATTAAAGAGTGCCACCTGGTGGGGCCCAGGAAGAGAGCTTATTCTGTTTGGTGAAACACCATCCTCCCAGAGATAAGATTGGCCCCGACCTTGTTGGTCTTTCATAAGACCCTGAAAACATAGTTGTTTTCCTGGGATTGGAGTATCTTTGGAGTCTGTGAATTAGTTTTGTTGGAATATTTGTATTGTATTTGTATTGATTTTAAAAAAAATCTTGGCTGTGGATTGTCTATTTATTTTGTATTTTTGGTTGGTTTTTTGCTGGTTTTGTTGTTGTTGCTGTTTGCCGCCTAGAGTCACTTGTTTTACCTAGGTGGCCATATAAATTGAACCTTCATAGCTTCGGATCATAGTTTAGCTCTCGACTGTCCTCCTCCCCCACTCCACCAAACTGCCAAACTGTGCTTGTTGGATCTTTGGGATATATCTCTATTTGGACTCATCATTCATGACTGTTGCAATTTACAAGCT